TATGACTTGGTGATCGGAAATATACCAGGTAGAAGAAGTTTGGAGAAACCAAGCAAAAGGAGACTGATGAGGCATCAGTCACCACAAGAGCTCCAGAAAAGAAGAGCAAGCAAGACATCAAGCTTCCACAAGTCTCAAAAGGCGACAGTTTGATTGTTGAGACTGAAGGAAGCACAGAAGAAAGACCTTTTACTGCAGAAAATTTGGAGAAAGTCGAGTACAAGACAAAGGGGAAAGGGATTTACAGAATAAAAGACTTTAAGGGAGTGCTGTACCAAATCTATCAAGTTAGTTATACTGGGGAAGTTAAACATATCATAGTACCACCATAATACCGGACACATGGTGATGAAGCTGGCTCATGATTCGATTGAAGGAGGACAACTAGGAGCAAAGAAAATGGCAGACAGAATCACAAGCAATTTCCACTGCCGGGGTCATTGGAGATGTGACCTGATTTTGCAGGTCGTGTGATATCTGCCAAAGGACGATACCTAGAGGGAAGGCAGACAAGGCATCATTGGGTGAGATGCCTCTCATAGAAGAGCCGTTCAGCAGAATTACACCTGTTTCTGACAAAGGCAACTAGTATGTGCTGACAGTAGTTGACTTCATGACACATTAGCCTGAAGGCATAGCACTGCTGAAGATAGAGGTGGAGAGAGTAGCAGAAATCCTCCTGGAAGTGTTCTGTAGAGTAGGAGAGTTTTATGGAGTGGTAAAGATTTGCCTAGTGCACTCCTCTTGCATCAGTTCTGAAGTAAAGTATGTCCCTCTGTCACTCAACACTTCTTTTGGAAAAAGATGTAATGGACTTTGTGAGAGAGTCAATGAAGTCTTAAAGAATATGCCGAAGAAAAGTTTCAGGACTACCTCTATGGGAACGAGTTCATCATCCAGATGGACCATCAGCCCCTTGCATACATCCAGAGGTGAAAATCAACAGTATAAGGATCATGAGGTGTGTGGTGTATCTCTAGAACTACTTGTTCTGCATTAAAGCCATTAAGGAGACTGCAAATGTTGATGCAGACTGTACGAGTAGACTTTGTGCATGAACTGAGAAGAGTCTTTTTATATCATATAAAAAATATTGTAAATATTTTTCTTCAAGAGGGACTTATTGTTGGATATACAAGACAGATCAGTTTTAAGAGTTATTATTTAGTTTATTTAGTGATTTAATATTAAATTATTATTTAGTTTTCATAACAAGAAAGTTAAAAGTTAATTATTTTAAAAGCGATAGTTATGAAAAGTTTTGTTACATAGCTTTGTACGAGTCATACTTTGTGTATGTAGTTTAATTGTTGTACTAGGCTTTTGTGATATTGTTGACGTCATCTTACTCGAAGCTTCAAAGTTGTTCTCTATTGTTGTTACTAGAAGTCTAGATAGTTCTAGAATTTTTGTCACGTGTTATAAATATGTGCAGATACAGAAAACAAGTTAAGTTAGTGAAAGTGAAAATATAGGGGAAGTTAGACTATGTGATTGTCAGTTTAGCCATAACAGGCGACTTTTAAAAAGAGTTTCACAACTTGTATTGTACTAACAGAGATACAGGAGAATATGTTGTTTTGTCACAGGATGTTCTAAAGTGACTGAACCCGTGTGTGTGAACTTTGACAAAAAACAACAACAAATATTTAAAGCTCTGGATACAACTATGATAACCAATAGTGTAACGAATTTTTATACATACGTTTGACTTGTTTTCAATATATTATTTTAAAACACGTGGATCGTGTGTTGTCCGTTTATTGTTTAAATTTATCGCCAACAAGTCACAGAACACAGGATGCTCTAAAGTGACTGAATCCGCTTGTGTGAACTTTTACAAAAAACAAACAAATATTTAAAGCTCTGGATACAACTAAAATAGCATGGAATAGGACGGATAAGCTATTTCCGGTTCCGAATAACACGGAAGAGGTAGGGTGAATTATTTCCGGTTTAGAACAGCGTGGAAGAGACTGGTTAGAAATTCTAATGATAACCAACACGATATTCAACTGTCACATTTTAAAAACCTTTACATAATAGCTCAAACAATAAGAAAAACTTTGCGATGCTATTTTGGTTGGCCGTCTCAGTTATTAAACTTTAAACCCGAAAACCTAAAATATGGTTTACATAAAACTATTAAGGCCAGGTCTTACCTATTTGTTAAAGTGCATTGACTGTGAATCTCAAGATTCATGATTCGTGGTTCAATGCCGTAAAAACGCGCTCACCTCTTAAGGGCTGTGGGTGCGCCATAAGACTAAGGGCTAACTCCCACTAATCGGTTTCCCAATAGAAGCTCACGAGTTGGGGAGTTAGGAGTTGTTGACGAGCTGCCTTCCCTCTAGTTCATAACTCAAACAGAAAACTAAAAACTTCTAAGAACTATTTTTATTTATATCATTCATATCTTGAAAATACTTATATCACAGTTACACCGACACTGTTAAATATATTTCTATTGTTCTCGAACATTTGAAAATGGTAGTAGTGTGGAAAGAAGAAACTTGAAAGCACTTGAAAGAAAAATTAAATGAATAAGCTTTAAAACGCTTCAAATGACAGCTAAGTAGATGAAAATGTTTTTCATTTTATTCATTGATAACAAAAACCTACTTATGTTTCAGGTGATTTGTTCTATTCGTCATTTAATAAGCTTTAATCTTAGAATTACAACAAGCTTTAACCCTAAATTACAACAAGAAGCTTTAACTCTAAAATTACAACATCAAGCTTTAACTCTAGAATTACAATACAAAGCTTGAACCTGAAAATTACAACACAAAGCTTTAACCTGAAAATTACGCCACCATGCTTTAACCTGAAAATTACAATACAAAGCTTTAACCTGAAAATTACAACAACAAGCTTTAATCCTAAATTGCAACATCAAGCTTTAACCGTAAAATTACAAAAACAAACTTTGACACTAAAATTAGAACAAAAAATTAAAACTTGCTATAATTTTAAGGTCAAAAACTTGTTATAATTTTAAAATTAAAAACTGTTATAATTTTAAAATTAAAAATTGTTATAATTTTAAAATTAAAAATTGTTATAATTCTAAGGTTAAAGTTATTTGTTGTAATTTTAGTTTTAAAGTTTGCTGTTTTAATTCTAGGGTTAAAGCTAGTTGTTGTAATTCTAGGGTTAAATTTTGCTATTGTAATTCTAGGATTAAACCTTGCTATTGTAATTCTAGGTTTAAACCTTGCTATTGTAATTCTAGGTTTAAACCTTGCTATTGTAATTCTAGGGTTAAATCGTTTTGTAGTTCTAAAGATGAAACTTGTTTTAATTCTTGTTTTAAGGCCTTAGAATTACAAAAAGTTTTAACCTTAAAATTACAATAGCAAGGTTTAACCCTAGAATTACAACAACTTTAACTCTAGAATTGCCACAACTAGCTTTAACCATGGAATTACAACAAATAACTTTAACCTTAGAATTATCAATGGGGTCCAATACCTCAAAAGAGCTGACTTAAATTTTGAGTTAAACCATTCATTTCCTATGTAAAATTAGTGGAACTAACTGTAATGTTC